TGCAATATTCATTTGAATAAAGAATATTAGTCCATCATCTACATTAATCGATTTGCAGAGAAAGCATACTTTACCAGAGCAAGGTCATGTCTTACTTTATAGCTAATTCATATACTAAAGTAACGAATTAATCCATGTCATTCGTCAAGCATCGCATATATATTCAGAACTGTCAATTCCGAGGATAGAGGAATATTTATTTGGAGTCATATCCAAAAATGTGAACATTGCAAGATGGATAAAATTAATTTCTTTTTACTATCAAATTATAAGCTTGTACAATTAATGGAATACACGTTAGCGATTGAACTTGAAAGGGGTTCACTTTGAGACTTGCTTTAGACGAAGTAATGGATAAAATTAATTTCTACGAAAGATGTTCAACTGAACACCCTTCACTCTAAGTGGCTATGTGACTGCCTATCGAGAATCACCATTAACGAGCTTACTCTACTTCAATTAGGAACCTAGCTACAACTAGTGAACGAGCTCAGCTAAGAGAGAAGGCAGAGCACAAGAGCCGTGTTCAGGAAATGAAAATGATTCTCATTACTGAAGAAGAGATACAGGGTATTCTTATATACACGTGTTCTAACCTCTAATGACAGCTGTCAACAACTAATATAACAACTTAACTAACTGACTAACTAATACATAATTAGCTACTAACTACAGCCTATTGACATGTGTCCCTCAAGTCACTGCATCTTCAATAATCCCCCTCAAGCTGGTAGGTGCAAACACATTTAGCACTCCCAGCTTGGACACAAGATACTCATGATGTGATCTCCCTAATGCTTTTGTTAGGATGTTTGCCTGTTGTTCTCCCGAGTTGATACGCAAATTTTTTACCATGCCTAATTGAATTTTCTCTCTAATGAAGTGACAACCCACCTCTATGTGTTTTGTTCTTTCATGATAAACTGGATTTGTTGCTATTTGTAGTGCTGCCTTACTATCACAATACAGTTCTACAGGTAAGTTCACCTCTGCTCCAAGATCTCTGTATAACCCTACTAGACATACTAGTTCAGACACTGTCACTGCCATGCTTCTATACTCAGCTTCAGCTGAGCTCTTGGATACTGTATTCTGCTTCTTTGACTTTCATGATACCAAAGAATATCCATACTTCACAATGAAACTTGTGACTGACCTCCTTGTGTTTGGGCATGAAGCCCTATCTGCGTCACAATAAGATTTCAACTTCTCTGGCCTCTTTGAACTCATCAGAATCCCTAGTAAAGGTTCCCTTTTCACATACCTCACAACTCGTAGGGCTGCTTCCCAATGTGACTTATTGTGTTGCTGCGGGAATTGGCTGAGGTTCTGAATTGCAAATGCAATGTCCTGTCTTGTCATTGTCAAATATAACAGCTTCCCTATTAGCCTTTGATATTTTCCTCTATCTTCAAGTAGTTCATCACCTGCTTCACCTATGACATCATTTCTGATTGCTATCAAGTGGAGTCTAAGATCATTTAGCAACACTCAGCCCTGCATCTGCTATGAGCTCCAGTGCATACTTTCTTTGGTTCATAAGAATTCCTTTCCCCGATCTACTGAATTCCAAACCCAAGAAATACCTGCGTTTCCCTAGATTTTTGATCTTGAATGCCTTATGTATTCTTAGCTTAGTTTCCTCAATTAACTTTTAAGTCACTCCCAGTCACTAACATATCATCAATATAGACAATTATGATGACTGTACTGCTATCCTTCTTCTTTGTAAACAAATAGTAATCTAGGCAGCTTTGCACAAAACCAAATTCCAGTAAAGCATCTGTCAGCTTCAAATTCTGTTGCCTACTGACCTGTTTGAGCCCATAGAGGAATTTAACAAGCCTGCATACAACTTCAGACCCCCCCCCCCCCCCCCGGCTAGTTAATCCCTCTAGCAACTGCATGTAGACTTCACCATGTAAATCTCCTTGAAGGAATGCATTGTACACATCCATCTGATGGATGTTCCAATTTTCATCTTCTGCAAGAGCAATGACTGATCTGACTGTTGCAATTATTACCACAGGGGAGAAGGTTTCATTGTAATCCAGTCCTTCCCTTTGATTGGAACCTTTAGCAACCAAACGAGCTTTGATCCTCTCTATAGAACTATTTGCCTTGTACTTCACTTTGTAAACCCATTTGCATCCTATTGGTCTCATCCCTGGTGATAATTGGACAAGTTCCCAAGTGCCATTGTCTTCTAGTGCTTGAATTTTTGTCCTCATAAATGCCACCCATCTCTTATCTTTGGATACCTCCACAAAGCTTCTTGGTTACGTTCTTCAATAGTAGAGAATGTAGTTAAGTAGTTCTTATAGCTTTGCTGTATTGCATCAAAGCTGATTGAGTGACTGATAGAATGAGGAGTTTGCTGAGATGTGGTGGCTGCAACTGTGACATAGTCTGTTAGCTAAATAGGTGGCGTTTTATCCCTTTCAGATCTCCTTAAAGAGTCAGCAGGTGAGGCCTCTAATGGTTGATTATCAACTTCAAAATGGTCTGATGGATCAGGATCATCCTCTAAGGCCATGCTGTGAAGATCAATGTCTTGAGGAATGTCTTCAGCATCATCTGGTGGACTGTGGATAGCAGCAGGTGATTCATCTACTGAACCTTCAGAAGCTTCAGTGATTGGATCAACTGCATCAAGACCAGCAGTATGTTCTGTAGTAGCATCTGCTTCAGCATCTACATCATGTGGCAACCAATGTGCCATACCAAGATCATCATTAAGTTGGGCTGCATTTGTGTTACCAAGAAACATAGATGATCTGTTGTTGCTCTCTTGCTTGAAAGGAAAGATATTTTCCTTAAAAACTACATCCATTTTCACAAAAAACACATGTTTGGTTTGATCATAAAGCATGTACCCCTTTGTCACTATCCTATGAATGCTGCTAGAATTGCTCTTGATTCAAACTTGTCATGATTATGCATCCTCTTAGCATAGCATAACCATCCTACAGTTCTGAAGTGATCCCAGCTGGGCTTCCTGTTATGAAACACTTTATATGGACTCTTCCCATGGAGTACTACTGTATGCAGCCTGTTGATAATGTAGGCTGCTCCCAAAACATAGTGCCCCCAGAATTTTATTGGTATGCCCCTCCTCCCCCCAAAATCTAATGGCTCTTGCCACTTCTAAAACATGTCTGTGTTTTCTCTTAGCTATCACATTCTGCTAAGGTGTATAAATACATGTCCTCTGGTGTATTGCTCTATATGATTGAAATAGCCCTTGGCATTCATTATTTACAAACTCTGTTCCATTGTCTGACCTAATTATCTTCACTCTTTTTGTAAATTAAGTAAGAATTAACTATAGAAAACTTCTCAAAACAACCACAACATCACATTTTAATTTCAGCAAATACAACTATGTCATTCAAGAATAGTCATCAATAATAGTCAAAAACAGTTTATTATCATCAAATATTTGCACACTAAATGACCCCCATACATCAATGTGTATCAAATCAAATATTGCATCAACTCTAGTAGTACTATTCTTAAAGGGCAATCTAGTGTTCTTGGCTAATGGACACATAGTACAATCCTTTAAGGCTTGTCTACAAGCATCTATAGGCAAGTGAAACACTTGATTTATTGTTCCAGTTGAGGCATGTCCTAATATCTTATGCCACAGTCCAATGTTTTTGTCTTCTTTTCTGACAGAGAAACCTTGTGTTGCTGCATTCAACAGACCTTCAGTAGAAGCTTGAGGGAGCATTAGGTAGAATCCTCCTTGTTCTCTACCATTACCCTTCACCTTCCCACTGCAAAGGTCCTAAAATATGCAGAAGTCAGGGTAAAAAGCAACCATATACCTCAACTCTTTAGTGAGTTTGGAGACTGACAGTAAATTGTACTTAAAATCTCGAAGACATAGTACATTGTCAACTATGTCTCCATTACTCAGCTTACATGACCCTATATGAGTCACATATGTGACACCTCTATTTGGTAAATGAACCTTTTTTGCTTCTGATTCATTTAGTCTGATCTTATTGAGCAACAGATTAGCATCAGATATCATATGATTTGTCGCACCTGTGTCAATTATCCACCCATTTCTACTTGTCTCTACTAGAAAAGTGTTGAGTGTACCTGCCATGTTAGCTGAACTTTCCCCAGCACTTTCCTTGTTGAGTAAATTAAAGCGGCTACGAGTTTTCCTGGGAATTTCTCAAAAAAAAACTTCGAAATTACTCACATTTTTTACGTGACATATTTTATAGTGTCCATCCCAAAAATAACGATATTTTAAATTTTGATTTTTAATTTTATTCTAAATGACATAATTATATACCTACATAAAATATGACAAGTTTAAGACCACAATTTTATGATGAGGGAACAATACCTTAACGACGGAAAATAAAGCAATATGATGATATGCGACCTTTTAAGGTAGTAAGGAAGCTATTTTTTGGGGTGAGAAATATTTAGATCACTTGATGATAAATATGACACACTATTACATTCTCTTATTTGATCAAGTTATCTAGTACTTTATTCCAAAGGAATTTGAACCAATTTAGCCACATATCGACTATACTAGAAGAAGTTTCCACGTACTCCTTTTCGGTACGGATAGTAATGTGGACTTGATTTCAACAACATATCTATGAGTATATATATTCTAAAGAAGATTTCAGTTTTTATCAAATCAAAAGTAAGGTTCTGATATCTTTGGTTGTATTGAAAAATATCACTCTAGCTAGGGATATATGTTCTTGGAATATTTCAAAAATGCGGGATAAAATAGGTAAAAGGGAAAGTTTGAGTATGTTATGATGCTTTAGAATCCAAGTAGATAAGGCATACTTTCCCATCATACAAGTGATCTAGAAAAATCTAGATATATTTACCAACATGTAATTCTTCTAGAATTTCCACCCTTTTTAAAAGAACTAATATACAACTCTGAGGACTCTATATATAGCTTCACAAGGTTCGTGCTTCTCACAACAAATCAAGCCTTGATCATTATTTCTTGCAGCCTTCACAACTTCTTTAATTTCCACTTCACCAAAAGCTATATAAATCTTGGCATTTTGCCAATAAACTCATTATTTGTTGAACTTATAAACATGGATATGGTGATGAAGTTGGGAGCAACAAGCCCTGCGGTGATATTCGCCAAGAGTAGTTGTTGCATTTCTCATAGCATCGAAACACTAATCCGTAGTTTTGGAGCAAACCCTACCGTTTACGAGCTCGATAGACATCCAAATGGGAAGCAAATAGAGAAGGCTCTAATTGAACTAGGGTGTCAGCCAAGTGTGCCAGCAGTTTTTATAGGGAATGAGTTTGTTGGTGGTTCTAATGAGATCATAAGCCTTAATGTGAGAAGCAAGCTAAAACAATTGCTTATGAGGGCTAATGCCATTTGGGTATAGAAATAGCAACTCTACGAGTTTTGATAGTAATTAAACTAACCACTTATGGAGAGTCTTTTAGCTTTCTTTGGATGGTTGTTTCTTCTCCCATTTTTCTTCTTGATGTATTAATAAAGTTATAATTATGGCAATAGTCATTTATGCAATATAATGGCGGTTTTGTTTGTTCACTGGTGATGATCACATGAAATTAGAAGTAAATAACAATGAGAATCTTTATGTAATGCATTTTAATTCAAGGTATTAATAATAATCTTACACTACATTGTACATGCATTAAGTTTTATATATAATTTTGACGTTTTACGTAAATTTTGTGGTGTGGTCCGTCCCCAGATCCTACATGAATGTGGCCCTTCCCCGAATGCCTTTCTCTTAAACAAACAACGTAACATATTCTAACACGAGACCACATATTGCAACTATTCTAATAGGAGACCACATGGCACATATATACGAATGTAGATCTTCCACCCATCAATTGGAATATCTGTCCTTTCCTCCTTTTAGCGAGTGCCGTATTGCAGAATGCATATTATAGGAGAATAGGGAATGTGCGAGCCAGATGCAAGAACTCGAACTTGTTCACGAATAATTAATGTTAATTTTCTTTGTATCATTCTAAATAACAACTAATACAAATTTATTCCGTTAATATAAGCTAATGTATTCCAATGCTTGAGCTGCCTTAATGCTAGAAATCTGAGAAAACAGCTAGATAGGTTATGCTTGTATATAATTATGCATCATGTACCCATTGCTCTGTTAAAAGATCAGCCTTTTTTATTATGGAATTAATAGAGGACCTTTTTTAAATAAAGAAAAAGATGATTTTAAGACTTGATCTTGGATTGTTTATATATGCTACAGTTTGTCACTTCTGACTTTAGACCTTTATCGGCTTGGATATGTTCCAACATTTAATGATGATCCAACATAATTCTTGTATGTGTTTCATTCATTAATGGGCCTTGCGACCTAAGATAAAGAAAATAATACCTTTTACTAGGATGTTTGATTCTCATGAAAAGAACAAAGTAATTAAGAGAATAAATATTCTTATATGAATTCTTCCCTATATAAGCTAGGGACCAAGTCTCTTTTAATTCGGTTATTGATATAATATAAGGGTCATCAAACTATATGGAGATCCAGGTTCTCTTTCAGCTCCACAATAACACACGCACACTGCAGTAAGTAGATGACAAGAGGAATTTTACGTGGAAAATTTCCAGCTCAACGGGATTAAAAATCACGATCTACCCTTGTAGGATTTCAACTTCACTACTGAGCAACTTTGAGATTACAACCTATGCGACCTAGGAATTAAACACTTAAACCCTCACTAACTTGTAATACTCTATTATAAGCCACTTTGTAATAACTCTATTATAAAGACTGTACAACTCGACTAACTCTAGCCAAGACTCAAACACAAAGGTTTAAGATTTACAAAGGATTTCCTCCAAAATACTTCTAAACAAGCTAAGTAGGAATAACACTTGAAGAACTATTACAAAGTTACAACTCAACTAACAACAAACAATAATTTGATGTGGGAACTGGTCCGTAGTTATTTTGTTCTTTGTTCTTGATGCACTTGAGAATTGCTTGCTGGATGATCAGTCACGTGAGAGAGCTTGAGTGAATTCTCTAAGTGTTCAAGTGATGTATTTACCTTCCTTGATGTTAATAATACATGTGTGACATCATTTATAATGATGTAAGCAAGGTAGGTAAAAAGTCTTCCACAGAAAGTTGACTGTTGCACTGCTCCTGTACTGTAGCGTGTACAGAGAGCAACTTTTCCAGCTAGAGAGTTGACTTCGTACAGTCACCTTGAGAGCTGGTAGTGACCTGTTCCATCAGTTATTCCTTCGACTCTGAAGAGTTGAGCCATATCCCAAACTGGAACCTTTCGATCTTAAGGTCTTGAGAATCTGTAACTAGTTCCTTATTTGGTTCTTGATAGTAACTTTGTTAGATCATTAAAACACAGAGCAAGGTACTTGTAACCTATCAATTTTCCCTTTTTGATGATGATAAACTCATAACTTAAAATCGTACAAAGAACCACGACAAACCAGATAATGAACTAGAAAGACCTTAAGTTTCCCCCTGAATCTGCATTCCCCCTTAATGAGTCCACATCATAAAACATTCGCACTTATTCTTCCCCCTTTTGGCATCATAAAATGATCAGTAACAGGATTTTAAGCAATAAAGAAGTCCAGCTTTAAGTTAGCTCATGCCACTTATGTGTACATGAGTAAAACAGAGCATAAAAGCAAGGTATAAACAACAAAAAGGGAAAAGCTTGCATTAACATAATTTGGATTTTTCAACAGGAGCAGAGTCAATATTACTACAACATCCAAAAGTTAGAACAATCAACAAAAAAATACCACAAATCATCACCATAAGAACTGACACTGAAGGACTTGACCACAAACGAGATCATAGACTTGACACTGAGGGGACACCATTTAGGGAGCACTGGAAGGAGAGGGCTTAGAGGCAGAAGCAAGGGTTTGGAGAACTAAATCCATTCGAGCATTTGCTGACATTTGTTCATTGAATAGTCTCTTTTTCTGGTCCTCCACTTGTTTCCTGAGATCAACATTCTCTTTTGTCAAACGAGCAACCTCTTCACTTTGGGAGCTACTGGAATCAGGTGCCTCTTGCAGCTGACTTAGCTGAGTCTCAAGGATATATAGCATTCTTTGCTTTTAGTTTCCTTATCTCAGTAGTAGCAATGTTTCGAGCATTTATCAACTGAGATATGGTGGAAGTGCTTCCAACCCCTCCAACTTTCTCAATACACTCACATTCTTCAAGAGTGGCTTTTTAAAAAGTTTGCTTCTTGGTGCCCACTTTAACTTGTGCTAGAGGAAGCTTGAAGTGCTCAAATACCTTGGTGAGAAGAAAACCATACGACATCCCATGATTACCATCTTTAAAGTCTGCCCCTTTATTCATGTGCTCTTTCATGATCACTGGAAGATTGATGGTGGTAAAGTTGTCCAGTGCTTCCATGAGGAACAGGTCTGCACGAGAGGTGATAGATCTTCTCTTAGCTCGAGGCAGCAATATTTTGTTCACCATCTCAAATAGCAATTCGTATACAAGAATGAGGGCCTTCTTCTGAACCAGTTCCCCCTGCTGAGCTACTCTGTCCTTCAAGATTGCGTTTCTGAAGTTTTGAGAACATGTGCCATGAACACTAGACAGCCCTTCAGCAGGCACACCAAGAATAGACCTTAATAATTCAGAGTCCATTAACATGTCAACTCCATTCACCAAGACACAGATGTGATCATCCTCAACCTTGAACAAGTCGGCATAGAAACTGTGAACTTCCTCCTCATACACCCTAGTAGCATTACTCGTGAACAGGTGTGTCCACTGCTGGAACTCACATATCTCAACCAAATGTCTCATACCAGCCTCTTCCAAGATATCAGGGGCAAATGTGCGACCCCAAAGCACTTTTTAACTTCTCAATCTCTTTCCTAGCACTCCTTGGATTACCAACTCTAGCCTTCTTTGAGGAACCAGGTTCATCATCAGTATAAGCTTTTCTCTTAGCAGACTTACGAACATTCTTCCTTTTGTCATCAGACTTCACAGTTTTTTCACCCAATTCTTCCATCACAACGGCACCAGACACTTCTACAGATTTGTTTCCAGATTCTTTTACCATATTTTCACTAGCAACAACATTATCAGACTTATTCAGACTTTTAGCAGACACAGAAGATCCTCTTTTAGGCTTGGGGAGACCATGCTTCTGTGAGAGCTTTCTAATCAAGGAGCTAGGTTCCTCAGTTTCTTCCTCATCCACATTCACAACAGCCACTATCTTCTCATTCACAACTTTGACATCTTTTACTAATTTTCTTCTCCTTGACTTAGCTTGATTGTTCTTAATCGCAGACTCAAGAGCCTCCTTTTTTTGTAACTTTGTAGTGGGCCGCTTAGGAGTTGGGCTCTTCATCAACAACTGATTTACGCCTAGGCAAACTGGTAATTGGCAAATCATTTGAATCCCCTTCACTATCCTTCATTTGTTCTTCAGACATAGATCTTCTCTTAGGCACAACCACACTCAGAGGCGCAGCATCTAAATGAGGAGAGGGAGCAGCGTCAGTACTGAACTGCGGTTCCTGAGCGGACCCCTGAGTTAGATCCTCTGAAGGGGGATCTGGTCCTCCAGCAGGTTCCCTAGTAGCACCTTCCTATGCCGATGGTTCAAGGGGCACAAGATCATTGCCCTCTCCAACAGTCTCAGACTCTCCCCCATAAGTCTTATGACCATCCTCACTTTCTTCGCCTAAAATCCTTTCATTAGCAATGGACAACATATTTTCTATAGCTTCCTTTTCTTGTAAGTCCATGGGAGTCTTAGGAGAAGTAGGAGTGTTACCTGTGGACACGGGATCAGGAGCAGTCTTTGTTGAGTCAGCTGTTTCAAACCCCTCAGTTTGATCTACCTTCAACCTTACTTCCATAGGAGAAGTTGAGATTTCCTGATTTTCTTCATTCTCAGCAGTACTCTTTTTATCCTTCTTTTTCATCAAAGTGGGAAACGAGCTCTGGGCTACATATCTTTTAGGATTCGATATTTTGTGACTCCTTTGAGAACCGAAACTCGATTGGGTAGGAGAGGAGACGAAATGTGGGGTGACTCTGTTCTAGGGTTTTGCTAGCAGTAGTGTGGAGAAGAGAGTCTAGTGTTGGTGTTTCATTTGGTGAGGACTCAGTGGGGGTGTTGCTTGGAATACTAGAGGTTACTTGATTTTCAGCCATGGTGAGAAGAAGAGAGATGGTTTGGTAGGCTGAAGAGAGAAAGAAGAAGAAACAGGTTTTGAAGTGTTGATGTGAAGAGTGTAACGACAGTGATAGATGTATTTATGATGAATGAAAGACCGGTTAGAAAGGGCGCCGGTTTTTAGGGAGTTGGGTCGATTATTAACGGGTGAGACATTTGGGTTCAAAAGACACAAGACTAAGGACTGACATGATGATGATGTGGCACTTGTTTTAACCGTTAAAAATTGTGCACGAGATAAAAGAGAAACTACTAACTTGTGTCAGGAGAACCAGGTTCCCTGACTAATCTTGTATTTGTAAGCTTTGCCCTTTTTACCAGCGTATACTGTCTCAACTGCTTATTTTCTCTGTAATCATCAAGCGTGTCTACCTGTAACGGTATAG